GGAATGAACAGAAAAGGACAATTTATGGAGTAATCTATCCCCTTTCATCCAGTCCTAGCTTCAAGCAGTCAAAAGTTTAGCAACACCCAGATCATGTGGTTGCATTCCTGAGCTTTTTGGCTAATAATTATTGATAGACCTCTTCTCCATGAATTTAGCTAATTCTTTTTTTAACCCAGTTACACTTTTAGCCTTCACATTCACCCTTGGAAGGAGTTCCACAAGTTGAACGTGTGTTATATGAAGAACTATTTCCTTATGTTTATTCTAAACCTGATGCCTATTAATTTCATTGGGTGACTCCAGTGTTTGTGTTATGTGAAGGAGCAATTAAAACTTCTTTATTAACTTTCTCCATCCCATTCATGATATTATACGTATCATTCTATCATAACAAGTTGCCTATTTTCCAGTCTTTTTAATCTTTCCTCATATCAAAACTGTTCCTTTCCCCTACTCATTTCTGTATTTTTTCCAATTTGAATGCATTTTTCTGAGACTGGATGAGCAGAAAATGCATGAAGTATTCGAGGTCTGGGTATCCCATGAATTTATATAGTGATATTATGTATTTTCTGTATTTTTTTTATCTATTCCTTTCCTAGTAGCTCCTAACATTCTGTTAGTTTTTACTGCTGTTGTACACTGAGCAGATATTTTCAGAGAACTATTTACAATGACTCCAAGATGTTCTTCTGGAATGGCAGTGGCTAATTTAGATCCCATCATTTTGTATGTATAGTTGGGATTACATTTTCCAATGTGAATTACTTTGCATGTATCAACATTGCATCTGTCATTTTGTTGCTCAACCACCCAGTTTTGTAAGATTCCTTTGTAACTTTTTGCAGCCTGCTTTTGACTCAACTATCTTAAATAATTCTGTATCATCTCCAAATTTTGCTTCCTCACAGTTTACCCTTTTTCCCAAATCATTTATGAATATGTTGAACAGCGCTATTTACCTTGCTCCACTGCGAAAACTGTTTATTCTGATCCTTTTATTAAATTTTCAAGTTATTTGCCTGGCACTGAAGTTAGGCAGAAAGTTCTAAAATACTGAACCACCATAATGCTAGTGCACCACATGTGATCAAAGTCAAAACCAAAGGAATCTTTCCTGAACTACAGGAACAAGTAAAGAAAGACGTTACCACCTTTGTTGCCTTTTTGCTTCGTGAGTGAAAACCCCATAATTTTGCTGTATTGTGGTTCAATAATACCAAACAAAAGGAGCAAAATGTTTTGCAGTATGAATACAATTCTGCAAATGCAAGCTCCCATTGACTGTGGCACCCTCTAACAGCTGTAGGCACTATATTAAAAAGGAAGCAGTAATGACTCATATTTCAGGTACATAGAACTTTTCATTGCTGTTTTTATTGTGTTTGATTTTGGTTTAATGATACCAGCACCTAAATTGTTTGAAGAAGAATACTCCCTTTTTTCTCATTCATTGAAGATGGAATCCTACACACAACAGCCTCATTCACTACAACACAATCCTGACTCATTTATAGAGCATTGTCCAACCCGTGTACTAAATGAGGCAGAAATCCTGTGGAAAAAATATTATATGATCATATAATTAAAGGATGTGTGTGATGGGTTGGCCCCGCCCCGCACTCCATACCCAGGAAACCACCTGGCTCAGGGGGTGGAGAGGGCCGCGCCCACGCCACCCTACTGGGCATCCTCCCAGGAGGCCCCAGGTATAAAGGACTGCAGTCCTCTTCAGTCGGGGTGGACAGCCGACGGAGCAGGAGCTAGGGCCCAACCTCCAGAGCTGCCGACCCATCAGCCAGAGAGGGAGTCGCCAGGCCTTCCGCCGCAAGGCCCTCGCCGGGCTCGGCCCCAACGTCGGAGCCGCCAGCCAGCCACATGGGACCCAGGCGCCGGACCTGCCACTGCGACCCCAGACGCCGAGCCGGAAGGTGCTGCTACAGACACCTGGCTAATGCCCACAGGTGGGACCGCTGCCGACCAGGGGAAGGGAGTAGGAAGTGACTCAGGGCAGGGAGCCGGAAAGGCCCCGGAGGGCTCGGTGCGTTGTGGGAAAGGACCGCCCCCTTCACTGACCCCCGGCGAGAAGGGGTTTGCCTAAAGGACTAGGCCTCAGGGCCTGCATACTTCCAGACTAGGCCCGCAGTTCCCTTAATATAGGGGCTGCGTACTTTGAAACTAGACCAGAGAAATCCGAACTATGCCCCGGAGGCAGGCTGCCCACCCAGAGGGAGGGGCGGCCCCCCGACAATGTGTCAGAATGAATACACACCAAGGGGGGAAGAATCAGAAAAACAGAGCTGCAAGGGAAGTTATTGAGTCTTGCTCCCTGTATTGTGGTAGGACCAAGTAAGACTGGACCATCTCTGGCAGGCATTTGTCCAAATTATTTTTAAATGCCTGAGAGATGGGGACACCACCACCACTCTTTGTAGCTTATTCTAGAGCTTATATGCCCTACTAATTAGAAGTTTTTCCTGTAACTAATCTAAATCTTTCTCACTAAAAAGTAAGCCCATCTTTTTCTACATTCAGTGGACATGGAGAATCATTAATCAACATTCTCTGTAGAACAGCTCTTAACATATTGGAAGACTTATTAGGTCTCGAGTCTGAATATGTCCAGTTTTTTTTCAACCTTTCCTTACAGGTCCAGTTTTCTAAACCTTTTATCATTTTTGTTGCTCTCTTCTGGACTCTTTCCAATTTGTCCACATCCTCCCTTGTAGCATTTAGCATCATGAAAATATTGGGGCTTTGAGGAGGACTTTGAACAGGGAACAATGAAGCTAACAAGAATATAAAAAAATCTACATATAAACAATATTGGCTGAGATAAGCATACACATTTTATTGTATGGTTTACATTTTACTTTCTTATATTTTTCTTTTATAATACAGACGCTAAACTAAGAAACCTAGTCAATTGGCTGTACAAGTGAGATTTATTTATAATTGTTTTAGTGGGATATCTTTGTATTGTGAGAACAATTTTGGGGATTAATTTTTTTTTAAAGTATATTACTTTGTCTAGCAGAAATGTAGGAATTGGTACAGAGAGGTAGAGAACACGTGTATTTCCAAAGAACATGCTGATGTCCAGCAGCATCTCTGTGTGTCAAGGCTCATAATGATCATGAAACTGAATATGGCCAGTTTACGGTTTTCAAAAATCATAGAAGGAGATTAAACAGTTATAATGTAGAGAAGCCAGTCAATATTCATCACAGAAATTAATTGAATGAGAAGTGTATTCTCTTTTCAATGTGAGAAGACTTTGAACAAATAACTCTGATCAAACAAACAATCTTAGTTTGCACATTAGTACCTGATCTAAAGTGTATTGCAATCAGTGGAAACAATATTATTGCTTTTAAGCCCAGGATTTCAAAGTGGTTTACAAACAGAATATGTTAGCACTCTGCAAAGGAAGCAGCTAGTACCTTACAGCTAGATAAACCACAACACTGAGACATACTCACTCTTGATTACACTAGCGTACATCTAGAGTAACTACATTGATTTCAATGGGGCTACTCTGGATTTACACGTACATTATGCAGTATGAAATTTAGTTCAGAAAAGTTAAGAAATGTGCCCAAGGCCACAAAGTAAGGCAATAATGAATTTAGGAATGGAACCTAGGAGTCCTGAATTACAATATTTCATCTAATCACTAGACCACAGAGCTTTTCTCGCAGAATTTACAGACCTACTTACAGTCTGTCAATTACATAGCACATAAATAATACACAAAAAGATAGAAAATGAGACCTGTTTCATCCTCCTTCTTCAATACTGTCAAGTATATCTAGTACGTCCTGATCATCTACAGCTCCCAATGGAATATCCATTCAGAATGGAAGCCTGATTATTCCAGGGAATCAAATACAGGCAGTCCCCGAGTTACGTGGATCCGACTTATGTCGGAGCCGTACTTACGAACGGGGCTTTTCTCGCCCCGGAGGACGCGGGCGGCGGGACCGCCCAGACGCGCCGAGGTCCCGCCGCCCACATTCTCCGGGGCAAGAAAAGCTGCTCCGCATCTCCCTGGTCTGCTGGGGGGGGTCCCCCAGCAGACCAGGGAGATGCAGAGCAAAGCCGCAGAGGACGCGGGCAGTGGGACCGCCCAGACGCGCCACGGTGCCACCACCCGCGTTCTCCGCGGCTTTGCTCCGCGTCTCCCTGGTCTGCTGGTAACGAAAATGGCGATCGGGGCTTTTTTGTGGAAAACTGCGTCTAGATTGGCCACGGACGCTTTTCCGCAAAAAGTGCTTTTGCGGAAAAGCATCTTGCCAATCTAGAAGT